AGCAATTGAAAAAAGCGGACAATTTCGACCATTTTTGAGCTCTTGCGCATAAACAAATTATCGGAATTTAATCGGACTTGTCTTATTTTACAGATTTATTTAATACCTACCTTTTTTGTATAAACCTTTTTTCTCTATGAATAACAGTTTTTTTACGCGAGTCAAAAAACCACTTTTCCATAATTTTGACCATTGTTTTAACAGTTTCCCAACTAGTCTCGAGTTGATTTTTTGATATTTTGTTTATAACACGTTTCTGAACAGTATTCCGCAGAGAAACTTCTAATAGTATTTTTTTCCCGAAAAAAAGCTATAATGACTGGCCGTTTAGGAAATGAATTAAAAGTTCGTATTCTGTTAAAATTAGTAATGTGTTTTTAAATCAAATCCTAAATTTCACAAATTTTGAGCTGAATTTCGGCCATTTCGAAAATTGTCGAGTCGAAATTTGCCTTGTTTACAGGTGGCAAAATACCCAATAAATAATAAAAAAAAATCAAAAACTTTGCCACAAATAAGTGATTTTAGACAGTATCTTGCCTTGTTGGATTTATCTACACGAAGTGAACTTACAGGGCCTAAGTCACTTCCCTACGATTTCGGATTACAGAGATATAAACTCAAAAGCCATCATCCAAAAACCATCATTGGTTTGAGAGCAGATTTCCAGAGTCATTTCCAGACTGACGCTCACAGTTATTTTTTTTTTTAACAGAATTCAGATGATAGAGGCGAACTACTTACTGTCTCAAAAAGATTGTTTCATGTATTTGTTACGTCTCAATTTCCGCTGTGACACCTATCTGCATGGACGATTTTATAGACGTGCATACAATAAATAATTTTAACGTAGATAACTCATTTTTCTTGTTCGATAAATAGGTTGGAAGGGGTAGATGGGAGAATGACACACAAACTGTTTGTTTTCCACGACAGAGCATATGTTAAACAGTCGTGCAAAATTAAGGAAACGTAAGATAAACATACGAAGTAAAAATATGCTTTTTTCGCATGGATTTCTATGGCTTACTTTATCGCTCTCACGTAACTTCAGATAGACCATCGGTCCTTTCCTACCCTGTATATTTACACTACCATAAAATAGGTTCTCACGTCAGCACAATAAAAATCTAATTTACTTCAAGGATAATAGTAAATTATATGTTTGCTGTAATATGCTAGCGAACTTTTTTGTGTGGGAATCTTCCAAATTATTTCAAATCGTGTTTATGTACAGAACGATTCAGTTTTAAATTGACTCATAGAACTTCCAAAGGTATGTTGTGTGAATGTCTTAGAGATGATTTTATATGATAAAATCAAGGTGCCGTAAATTTCATTGTTTCATTATTCTTATTAAGATATTTTTTGCCCATTTATATGTAAATTTAACGCTTCTGTTCATTATTCATTAAAACCATAAAACCATAGTGTACAGGACTATATTTATATACAATATATATGTGTGCTTTGTTCACATAAAAATTACTGACAGATAAATATTGTTATTAAGGCTTTTAGAACCAGTTTAGATCGGAAACTTTTTCTACAGTTGCACATTTTTTTGTAAATCTGTAAGTACCCTATAATTTTACACTGATTGTGAATTGGAAATGATTGTTCCATTCGTTCAATGCGTCGTTTACCCGAAATTTGTTTCAGAGTTTCCCATCCAAAATGATCAGCGCTGTACTTTTTTATTTTCGACTTTAAGAGGTGGTATGAGATTTTAGTTGAATTTTCTACTAACGGATGGCGCAGTTAAGGCATAGTCTAGCACGTCATAGTTTTAAATTGTCACATCATGATTTCGCACTAAAATAAAAAAACGGATAAAGTTTTGTACCATATTATTTCATTTTATGGTAGGTAATTAAAACAACAAATTAATCAATAATCTCTGTCATTGTTTACAATCTGCTCTCACCTTTTGAATAATTTCTTGATACCATTTCGCTAAAAATCGTCTGATTGTGTATCGAAGAAGTTGGTGAGCCAGTTTTTGAGGTCCTCATCCTTGGCCAAGGTTATAGGCCCCATACACTATCAAACAATTTGCACAAACTTTTGTTGTACAACATAATATTGTAGAACTTAGTGATTATATACACGATACCACAGTTTGTGCAAATTTATTGAAAATAGGCAATTTTTTATATTTTTAAGCAGTTTGTTCGCGCTTGCCTGGTATCGTTAATTTTGTTTTTAAATTAATTTTGTTCTTAAAAATGTCTGCACTTTTCAAATTTCGATTTTTATTAAGTTCACTTTTAACTTTCCATAGTTTGGGTAAATCGCGATTCATCTGCATAAATTCTCGCCAAAATTCTTTATTTCCAACCGTAGATAAAGCCATTTAATTTATTTTTTAAAATCGCTTGAACAACTCTAGTTGTATGACACTATTCGTTTGTTACGTTGTACAACACCTTCATACATTCACATACACGTTCAAACCTGTTTGAGTAAGTCACGCGTTGCACAAATAATTTCAAACAAGATCGAATTTACTCAAACTGTTGCGCAACAGCTCCAGTCAAGACATACATGATCAAAATGTTTGCACAACGCCCTCTATTGTGCAAATTTTTGGTTTGACATGGAACGGAAAAGGTGATCTGGAGTACGGCGTATGCGATTCTATAGTAGGATCATATTCGATGCAAAGTAATAAATCATTGCCTGTCAAGGGAACCAATGCAGTACGCTCTTACGGGTTTTAGAAATTGAATAATTTCTTTATACATTATGAAGGGACGAAGGGATCAGTTCACGTCTGGCACCCTTGTTCCTACAAAAATTGCTTTATTCTCATAAACTATTTATTTTAAATGCAATTTATTATAAATCCAATTTGTTTTTTAAATTCCACATATGTACTACATTTTACCTCTGTACACAATTTGCAATACGTACTTCTTTTGTTTCAGGGGATCGTCATTCAAAGAGGACGAAGGCACATGGAAAGGCAACGACGACGGCAAGGTGGTTAACAACCAGCCCCAGAGGATGATGGATGACCGCAACGGCATGGGCCCCCAGGGTGGCTACATCGGCCGCATCACGAACGACGCCAGGGAGGACGAGATGGAGGAGAACGTCGGTCAGGTCAACACCATGATCGGCAACCTGCGCAACATGGCCATCGACATGGGCTCTGAGCTGGAGAACCAGAACAGACAGGTCGACCGCATCAATCTCAAGGTAATTTCTTATCTGCCTCCGCTCGTTTTTCTTTTTTTCGGTGTTTGATAAAGCCTAGCTTTCTGGAAGTTTGTCGTTTTGGTTGCGGTAAGTTTTCTCTCTTGAACTTCACAAGTGTGGAAACTTTGGAAGCATGCTTCGGATTTGGTGTAACTTTATCTCACAGTGTGTACTCACTACTGTGTTACAGACACGTAATTAAAATTTCGTTGGAAATTAAAATTAGGTTGCATCCATCAAAATTAAATTAATTAAATGCTTGTTCTGAACATGCTATTGTTTTCAATAGTAACTGACATACTGGGATGGCCAGAAGTACGGAATAAAATTCATATCTTCTGAATGAGTAATTTTTTTTTAAACGCCGAAACACGTTAACTGATTTTGATTTTTTCCCATATTTCGGTTATATAATAATTAATTTTTCTTCAACCGCCTAACCCCCAGCTACCCCTACTTTTTTTTTTAAATGGAAACATAAGGCATGAGGGGGCTCGTTGAAAAGCTTATAGAAAACCGAATCCAGCCATACCAAATAAACAAGTTTTATTTTTTCAATAGCAAGGTTTTTAGGGTTGTATAAAACACCTACTTAACAAGTGAAATAAAATTTAATTATCTTCAGTGTTATCCTCCATGAATTTGCACAGAATAAAATAAAGAATTTGAAACTGTACCTATCACTGCTAACGCAAAAAAGATATATTTTTTATGTTGCGTTTTTTTGGCACCACTTACTTGCCAGGCTTTCTGGTTAATTTTTCGCTTTAGTTGTAAATTGGAGTTCGAAACGTTACTATTGTGTCAAAATCAAGTTATTTACTGAATTGCAATGGTATTGTCGGAAAGGCAACGCATCGAAATCTTGATATTGCTTGGATGTGGAGACAAAATAAGAAGTCAGGCTGAAGTGCGCGATTTATTTAATGCGAAATATCCCGAAAACCAAATCTCGCAAGGGACAGTTAGTAAAATATTTCACAAATTTGAGGAACACGGTACAGTACAGACTTTGCCCAAAACTGGACGGGCACGTGCTTTGAATGAAGAAAAGAAATTAGACATTGCATTAGAACTTGTTGAAAATCCTCATACTTCAACTGTTTCATTGGCCCGCAATCACGATGCTTCTCGAACTGCAATTCGAATGTTTCTGAAACAAGAGAAATACCACCCCTATAAGGTATGTCTTGTCCAAGAGCTTTTGGAAGACGATTATGATAGGCGATTACAATTTTGTGAGGAAATGATGAGACGGTGTGACGACAATAATGGTTTTCAACGAGACGTACTTTTTTCGGATGAAGCTACGTTTTATTTAAATGGAGTGGTTAACAGGCACAACTATCGCTTTTGGTCCCAGGAAAATCCACACTGGACATGCGAATCGCATACGCAGCATCCACAAAAAGTTAATGTATGGGCAGGTATCATCAACAACAGAATCTTGGGCCCATTCTTTTTTGAAGAAAATCTTACTGCCGCACGCTACCTGGATTTCCTAACATTTGACCTGATACCTGCTCTAGCTGTGATTTTCCCTCATGAAATTGATCCAGATATACCGAATGAAAGAATTTGGTTCCAACAAGATGGCGCTCCCCCACATTTTGGTATTGATGTTCGAAGATACTTAGATGAAATGTTTCCAAATCGCTGGATTGGTAGACGGGGTACAGTTGAATGGCCGCCAAGATCCCCCGACTTAACACCCCTGGATTATTTTCTTTGGGGATATTTGAAAGAAAGAGTCTACCAGGACAGACCGGATAATATTGAGAATTTAAAGAACAAGATTAGGGCGGAGATGCATAATTTACCAGCTGAAGTCATTCAGAATGCTGTGGACAGCTTTTACTATCGTCTTGGAGAATGCCAAATAGTGAATGGAGGACATTTTCAGCATTTGCGACATTGAGTTTATTTTTGTAAATTATCTAGTTGTTTCAATTTCTAAATGAAAAAAAACTTGTTATTGAAAAAATAAAACTTGTTTATTTGGTATGGCTGGATTCGGTTTTCTATAAGCTTTTCAACGAGCCCCCTCATGCCTTATGTTTCCATTTGAAAAAAAAGTAGGGGTAGCTGGGGGTTAGGGGGTTGAAGAAAAATTAATTATTATATAACCGAAAGATGGGAAAAAATCAAAATCAGTTAACATGTTTCGGCGTTTTAAAAAAAATTAACTCATTCAAAAGATTTGAATTTTATTCCGTACTTCTGGCCATCCCTGTATAAAATTAGGCAGTGGTATATTATACTGAGTATAATAAGACGTTGGACAAATTTGAATGGGATACTACAAGGAACAAGATTCAAACTATTTTATTCTACATTCATTTTTAGAAAATGTTCTTTGACTTTGGTTCTACAAAATTGTTCATAGTTCATGAAATTTTTTGGTTATAAATTGTTTCGTATAGAAATATTTATAAAAAGGTTTTTTTTTAGCTGAACCTTGAGCAATTGTGCTTACATTTTTTAATTTTATTTTTTCGTGGTATGAAAACCGTTTATTCCAAGAGCAATCAGAGGTCCTAGAGAATAATTATTTAATCGAACAAACTATGTACAATTCAGTATTTCTGTATTTTGACGATTTTTCACAGACTTAACTGTCCAAATTTTTTTTGCGGGAAAATGAAAGAGAAATAAAAATATGTTCTTCAAACTGATTTTTATTCCCTTGTATACCAATATGGAAAACTGCGAAAACACGAAATTATCAGGGAATATCAGAGGTCTGAAAAAGTCGGGGAATTTTTCAAACTTATTTATATATTTTTAAAGTTCTTGCGTTATAATTGACCATTATTTACTAGGTGCTACCACTGGATCTCACTAAATTATACTGTTGGCATTATCATTAACGTTTTTGTTAAATGATGATAGAACTCTCAGAATAAGAAAAAAAGTCCCATAACCATGGTTCGAGAAATTCTTAGAGATACTGCATTTTAAGTTACAATTGCTGAAGTTGATTTTTAAGAATACATTCGACATGTTTAAATGCAAACAAATGAAAATTTACACAGGTATTCCAATTTTTATCGTCTATCTATAAATTTGCAGCGTTAATAAAATTTCGCACCATTTTTCTTAATATTTTTTTTCTACAACGAATGCTGCTTAGTAATGTGTTTGTTTTTAATTATGGCCAACTCAACTCTGTTTAATTTAGAAAAAAATACTTTATACATGTATGTATATATTTTGGAAAGTACAAGAAAATGAAGTGTTACAATTTCAGAAAAAAGTCCCACTGCAATCGTTACGGGTGTTATAAAAAATATCAAAATTTTCACACTAAAAAAATATTGAAAACCTGTTTAGACTTGACTTGAATGTCTTTCTTAAGAAAAGTGGCGGTAAAATCTCAGTTTTCTATATTTAATAACAATAGACCTTTTTAGTAGTGACGTCACATACGCCAAATAATAGGGCCCCATAGTGCACATCGTTGTGAAGAATTTCCCAATATTTTTACTGGATCGATTTCGACTTTATGTACCAGGGACATAAGTGCCAAAAAAATTTCTTCTTTGTCACGATTTTAAATATCGCGATATTCTGGCAATATTAGAAATATTAAGAAGTTTCAATCCCCAAGTGACAAACTAATAGAATTATAGGATTTATATATTTAAATTTATGGAACAATATTGACTTTTATAGTAATTAATAAATTAAAATTATGTCAATGTTACGGAGCATGCGCATTAAAGGTAATTTCATGGAAGCGAAGTAGCCTCGCAACAAGAAAAGTTTGGTATGTGCTAAGAGTACGTCTATAATAAATCACTTTAAAAAAAACACTCGATAAACACACTGCGCCATTGTTCTATGGCTAGAAATTGGCCTCAATGATTTGGGATCGAGGGGGATTATCCCTCTTTATCCTGCCTCATCTCGTGTAGGCCTGGACNAAAAATGGAAATATATAATTAAGTATTTTAGACTCGATTTTATTCAATATCTGCAAGCAAGTATATCGATCTACTTACTTTCTAGCCATAAAGAATATTGCAGAATCTTTGCATTGACAGCAAATTGTCCCGCTTCAAGCACACGATCCTCCTTAAAATGACTCAAATGATTTATTAAAAAATTTGTCTTGTGTCTGAAGTGCGAGCACTTTTAAGGATACAATGAGAGTTCTGAGTACTGACTATCTTGTATAATAATTTGAACTTTTTACAATAATTCTTAAACTTGAAATTTTTGCTATTTGACACCAATTATGTCGTATATTTTTTTTCGCCTTTACATTAAGACCAAACTATATTTTACTGGGGAGAAAGTCTCTCTACACATCTAAGGGACCCATTCGCCAAATACGAATGACCTATTAATTTCTGCTTGGACTTTTCAATAATCTTGATGTTGTTTGTTTTACATTGCTACTTCGTTCACTCCACGACACAACTACAACATCAACAAAAACCTGTACACTGTGCCATCGCCCTCATGGTTGTATGAAAACAGGGCGAGTCCAATGCAATGAGGATAGATTTGGCCAATCAGCGAGCCCACGACCTTCTCAAGTAGACACAAAACACAAAAACACTGAAATTATTAGACTTTTTTGCGCATCTGACCCGTTTCCATCACCTGCGTTGCATCTTGTGTTCGCCGCTTTACCGGACGTCGGACAATATTCGTTTACGTTGTTTACCAAACAGTCCTTTATGTAAAACTGACGTTTTATTAAACAATTGCTCAATCTTCGTTGGATTGGGGTCAAAATTAATGTTTTTACAAGAATATAATCTTCATTGTAATAATAAAATATTAACATCGGTAATGATAGTTGAAGTAGAATGGACAATTGGCAATAATTGGACTAAATTTGTTTAAACATGTTATTTTTGAATATAACAATAATTATTAACAACGTTCATATCAACGATCCTCTTTTTTCATTTTTTATTTCTTAATTATTTTATTTTCTTTCCAATCTGCCTAAACTGCTCGTTATATCGATAAGAATTGGATACAAATATCTCTATTCTATATTTTAACACTTTGAATGTAGCAATTTAATAAATCAGTTAATAATAAAAAAAATATTGTACATGAAAGTTATTTTTTTATTTACTAAACCCCTTTCAACGAAGCTAAATAGTATGATACGGAACTAGATGCTGACCACAGTGGTGCATTACCCTGTACACGCAGGAAAAAGTAAATACACAAGACAAATCCGTAATAGTATATTACGTAATAAGTGTTGTAAAAAGCATTTTATGCACGAATGGAAAAGTTACGCACGACGCCGCGTAGCGGCGAGTGCGTAATTCTATGAGTGCGTAATTGCATTACACCACGTATTACGTACTATACTTTACCTACGACCACTACTGTAAATACTTAAAAACACACCGTCTGCGATCAATGTAAGATTCCTCTATTACGTACGGTAAAAAATCGCACAGCTTGGTAAAAAAATCGTACAGTTTTCCTAGCAACCACCTAGCAACGGTGAATACAAACAGTATAGTATTGACCGTTGCTAGGTGGTTGCTAGGAAAACTGTACGATTTTTTTACCAAGCTGTGCGATTTTTTTACCGTACGTAATAGGAATCTTACATTGATAGCAGACGGTGTGTTTTTAAGTATTTACAGTAGTGGTCGTAGGTAAATATATTGTATCCATATATTTTTATGTTACTCAGCTTCATTGAAAAATTTGTTTGATGTGTCATCAATATTTGAAACATCTTCAGCAGAAGTTCTTGAAAATGCAAAATGAACAAATTGTGGAATAATGTGTAAATAAACTAGTTCATGTTCGTTTTAAAAATATTCCTAAAATAATTAGGTATATCAAATGAAGTTATATTATGTTCTTTGATGCCAACATATTCAAGTATGTTAAAGAAATAATTTCATAGGTGTTCTAATTATTAATGAATACATAAAATGAAAATAAAAAATATTAGATGCAAATAGTGCTATTAAAAAAACACTTCATATTCTCGCGAACTTTCAGACTCGTGTTATTTGTACAGCTGTAACATGACTTTAGAGAAAGATCAGAACAAAATTCAGCGTTGATGATTTAGCTAAATCATTCTTGCATTTTAAAAAAGTTGACTTGGATAGATTTTTTTGTATCAAAGAATATACAGGGTGTTTTGGAAAGAGGTATAAATTCAGAAGCTCATAGAACATCAAAGAATAAGACGTTCTTGTGGACCATCCTCTTTTCTTTTTGAGACATGACGTTAAAAAATGATTTTTAAAAACCAAATTTTTTGAGAAAAAATGCAATTGACTGTCCCAAAATCAATTAACTTCCATTCCTTAATATACGAGGTTCCGTAAACGAATGGGTTACTTCAAGAGGAGTTTCCTTGGATGAGAATAAACTAATTTAGATCAAGCTATCTTAATACTGTTTGGTTCCTTAAAAAGTGATGGTCCTTCAAAAACATTTCTTTTTCTTCCATTTGTCACTTTTAAATACATATACCAATTTTATATATTAGGTAATGTTTTTGGGATAATCGGAAATGAACAGTTCAATTTTCATTGAAATATCTTAAAATGTGACGGAATTATCTTAAAAACTAAAATGAATACACTTTTTTTCAAGGCTGATAACTTTTTAAGGAAGCAAAATAGTACTAAGGCAACTTCATTTTCACTGAAGAAACTTACCCTTCTTTCTGCTCGTTCGTTGTACATCCTGCATATTAACAGAAACTGGTTGACTTTGGAGCAGTCAATTGCATTTTCAGTGATTTCAACAGGAGTGCCTTTTTTTGTAAAATGGAATTTTACATTTGCAGGGCAGGTGCATGTAGGGGTGTCCAAAATATTGTAATTAAAAAAAATTTATATCTGCAACGCTTTACCGTAGAAGTACCAAATTTGGTAAGTACATGATTTAGGTTTATTATTGGTCTTCTTGGGGATGACGCCCCTAAAATTGTACCGAACTTTTTTTTCATTGACTGAATTGAAAAATAGTAATATTAATTCCCAGCAGAATTTAATTTAAAAATTTTTTTACTCTTGTTAAATTTTAAAAAACTTTATGGTTTTCAAGAAAAACCGTATTAACTGACACAAGATTTTAACAGTGTTCATTACAAAATAATCAAAAAGTCAGTAGTAGGCTTTGTCTTTCAAAGACAATTGGTCAAATAAATTTTACTTCACTTCTCTCCTAATCTACAAAAAGAACAAAATAATTTTATTACTAACTGTCAAGTTTGAAAGATAAATTAATTGCCTATTACTGACTTTTCGATTATTTTCTAATAAACACTATTAAAAACTTGTTTCAGTTAATACGGTTTTTCTTGAAAACCATAAAGCTTTTTAAAAGTTAACAAGAGTAAAAAAACTTATAATTAAATTCTGCTGTGAATTAATATTATTTTTCAACTCGAGTCAGGGGCGAGTCATCCCCAATGGACACCTTGTAGTGTTTCAATTAACTTTAAATCATAGTCAAAGAAGACCAGTAGTAAACTTAAATCATGTACCAAATTTGGTTCTTCTGCGGTAAAGTGTTGCAGAGATATTAATTGTTTTCGAAATTTGGGGCACCACTTTGGGGGCTATTACCTCCTCAGGGGTGCAACTTTGTATATAGGTAAGTTTGGTTAAATTACAATATTTTGGACACCCCTACAAGCACCTGCCCTGCGTCGGTTTTTACGAGGGACACCCTGTATATTATATTTAATAATATAAGGCACACACTATACAAAATCTTAACCTCAAGAAAGTTGTCATAAAATCTCATTGGGAATGGCTGTATCTAGCAACCTCTAGCGGATGGTCAAATATTACCAGTAGTGACTTATTTAATACATTAAAAATTTTAACGGTACCAAATTTCAATGCATTACATTTTTGTTTGGAAGAGGTATGGCTAAAAGTTGATCTACCTTAAAAATAAAAAATGATAGGTCATGGTTCGTAGGAAATTATCTTCTCATTTTTGAAGAATTTAATATCTAATAAAGTCGAGTACACATCTGAGCACAAATTGGTAGGAGACAAGGTGAAAACCAAACAAAATCCATAGGATTTCCTTGTCTTGTCTCGTACCCGTTCGCGATGAGATGTTTACTGAGCTTAAAGTTAAATGAAGTTGGTTGCATACATTATAAGAGACATATATTTTTTTAAGCTACGAGTAGTTCGGTTCAGCTTTGTTGACGATTTACTTTGCCGATGATCGGAACGTTATGACCATTCTTCGGACGGGAATGTATTTGACATAAAGGTAATTAGATATTCCAAAAGAGTTATAATTTTGGAAACGGGTCAGATGGCAGGTAGTGGAATATGTGATGGGGCACACTGGTTATTAATTTGTTGGTTAGGGTGAGAGCAACGAAACGCGCATAGCAGTGGCCAACCAGCGTGCCAATAAACTCCTCAAGTCCTAAGGGGAGCGGGATAACAAGTCGCCTTTTATACTCTTCTCTCAAATCTCGATGTTATGGCTTAGTCGTATCTAGTTTACTAGTTATCTATACTGTTGTTATTATTATTGCTGTACCCAGTCCGGTAGTCCTTTCTAGTAGCTGTTTAAGGCCACGTGGACATTGTAAAAGCGGTGCACATACACAATGCGATTTCGTTCGGGGGCGTCGCGATCAATAGCTGGCAAAATCCCGAGCTGTGACGACAGATTTGCTATTGATCCGCGACTAGCGCGGCTGGACAAAAAATAAATGGTTTCTTGGGCATAAGGCTCTGAAGAGAATTTGATCTTGAAAGGAGCAGTAATTGAGAAAAATTATTTCTGCGTTGTCCAGTCGAAAGATTTTTCAGTAAATCAACGAATCAACCAATTGTTGTTTTCTAGCAAACTGCCAGTAAATCGAAAACTGTTTCTTAGAAAAAACTTTTAATCAACAGAGTGTTCCAATTTATAGATGTACAGNTACACATATACATATGTATATATTTTGGAAAGTACAAAAAAATGAAGTGTTAAAATTTCAGAAAAAAGTCTCACTGCAATCATTTGTTATAAAAAATAACAAAATTTTCACACTAAAAAAATGAAAACCTGTTTAGACTTGACTTGAATGTCTTTCTTAAAAAAAGTGACGGTAAAATCTCAGTTTTCTATATAATAATAATAGACCTTTTTAGTAGTGACGTCACAAACGCCAAATAATAGGCAAACCCATAGTGCACATCGTTATGAAGAATTTCCCAATATTTTTACTAGATCGATTTTCGACTTTATGTACTTTGGACATAAGTGCCAAAAAAAGTGTCTTCTTTGTCATGATCTTAAATATCGCGATATTCTTGCAATATTAGAAATATTAAGAAGTTTCAAACCCCAAGTGACAAACTAATAGAATTATAGGATTTATATATTTAAATTTATGGAACAATATTGACTTTTATAGTAATTAATAAATTAAAATGTTACGGAGCATGCGCATTAAAGATAATTTCATGGAAGCGAAGTAGCCTCGCAACAAGAAAAGTTTGGTATGGGTTAAGAGTATGTCTATAATAAATCACTGGAAAAAAACAGTCGATAAACACATTTGTGCAGCACAACACCAGGAAAAACAATAAAAATACTTAGTAGAACTAGAAAATGCCAAGATAAAAGAACAGAAGAGAAAATACGCTAATGATAACAGCGATGGCTTATCAATAAGATCTCACCTGCGTATGAGGCTATCCCGTCCGAGCATGCGCATTAGGAATAGCACGGCTAATGTTAAATTTTTTACTTTATTTAAATTTATGAATATTCTTTTATATCGTTTTTTGTAAGTTTTAAGCGCATTAATTAGTGCATCTATTTTACGAAACACGTGTTGGTTGTTCATTTCTATAGTATCTATGTAAATAGTACACAAGGGTCAGATTCGGTCGGTACAATTTCAACTATGACAATTTATTGAGGGTTGCCTAAATATGTGACGTCACACTAAAAGAGTCTATTGAGATACTCTAGCTTGACGTCGAAAATGGGATTCATCGGACAGGGTGTATCTCCGAGAGATCGACTTTCATGAATTAATTTCTAAAATTTGCAAATTATATAAACGACCAATCCTGTCTTAAAATATCGTTTCTTT